TTTATGTTCTAGTTTTTTTCCTTTTTTTCATTTTCACAAGAGAGATCAAGGAACAAAACACCAATATAAAAATTGATCAGAGTAATGTTGATGACTTGTTAAAAGAAAACATACATTCTATATACTCACTCTCTTTTAATTTACTTGTATGATTTTGATGTCATTAAGGACAATATTAGGTAAGTTGAGAGGTAAGATATGAGAGAGCAAAAATATTTGTTTGAAGTCATCATTTTTTTGAAACTTTTTCTTGAAAGATGTTGTTAGAATTATTAGTGGAACAACCCTTATAGTATTCATGCTTTGTGTTTCATTCAAGGGTGAAATTCAATGAATTTAACTTGTTTCATGACATGTTCAGACAAATGTGACAAGTTCAAAAGAGTTTAATAATTGAAGTTGTTAGATTACTCCTCATGTCCATATATTTTTTCCATTTTATGATTTAATATATATTATCTAATATATATCAAAATCTTCATTGAATGTTTGAGTTTGAACGAGGCTCTTGTTTTTCTCAATCAAAAAATTCTAGAAAAGAAATCCAAAAACCTTAGACATATTATATAGAGTAAATGATTGACAATGTGCAGCACTAAAGTGAGAAATTTTTATTCAAAAAATAGAAAAGTAAATCTCATATGAGAAAAAGCTACTTGTTTGCTAAAAAGAAGGAAAAAAAGATGAGAGGGGGAAAGCTCTAATAACCATGTTATATATATATATATATAAATAATGGGCTATCAAACTTTAAATCTAGAGAAAAGGGTTGAGGATTGGAAAATTGAGAACTATCTTAAGTTTAAAGAAGAATTTCTGATTATCTATTGTATAATGTTTCTTGAGCATACTAGATGAATAAGATCCTCTTTACTATTTTTCTAGTCATCAACTCTTAGGTTTTTTATTGTAACTTACATTTGTCTCCCTCCACTAGTCTCTAGGAGACACAAGGATTAGAGGACTTTTTTTCGTTACTCTTATTCCCTCTTGAGTGACATAATAAAGAGTGAGAACCCCTCTTTGTTCTCCCTCAATTTTTATTTTTTGTTAGTGATTTTCTTAAAGTCTACTTTATATCCTTTGACATGACTTAGTCATTATATATTAAATCATATAAATTTAAAATTTATAAAACTAGAAAATACGAACTTTTAGATATTTAGAAGTATTTCTGAACAAATATATCAATTATAATTTAATAAAACTTTTAAAAATAGTGATAATTTTCCAAGTCTGATCACAAGGATGTAATATAATATCGGGTAATTATTCAGAATTTTTCATAAAAAATATTATTTTCTATGAATTTTATACTAGGAAATAAAAATAAAATATATTTAAAATTCACAAAAAAAAGGAAATAAGGGTGCGGATGTCAAGATGACATTAGCACCTAATGAATGCGAATAGGGCGAAAATAGAGTTCCACCTGGTGATTCTTACATAAGTGATTACAAATGATTTAATTGATCAAATTAAGATCTATAAAAGCGAGAAGAATCGTAATTAAATAAAGTGTATCTTGGTAAATTTAAATTATATAAATTATCACTAAATGGAGCAAAAATTAAGTTGAAAGTAGAAAAATAGAGTTCTGGCATCGCGGCGGCGATGCACTAGAATCCTAAGCATTTGGGAGAGTCGTTGTGCAGTGTTTATGATCTCGAAGGCTCTCCTTAGACAAGGACGACATGATCAATCTCTAGATCTCTTTGCAAAGTCTAGAGATCAATAAAATGAGTCGTTGAATCATCTCTGGCAGCTGTCACCTAATAGAGTGAAAAAATAATGACTTTGTAGCTCTTTGGCGGCTGTCACCCAATAAAGAAGAGTTGGATGGAGGTGGGACACATGTTAGAGAGCTTCATCCTCAGGTCCACGTAACAAGAGGAGGCTCTTCATCGTATTTGATACTCTTTCAAGAGGTGGTGACTTATCTCCCAGCAAATTTTCCTCTTCTTGACGATGGCTTGTTCATCGATTAATCAGAGATACTTTACTAGATGGATTCACGATCTTTCTATCACGAATCACTTAGCAATTTTTGTAATAATGCTCCGTGAATCATGTTGACGAGATTTTTGCTGATAATCTAACAATTCTGATTGCTTAATCCTTCACCGACGATCTGTAAGAAAGTTGCAATAATCAGATAAAAAATATGAGTTTTGGCTCTAGGAGGATTCAAACCTGCACTAGTTGTCCGCCCTTTTTGGGGAAGGTGTGATGCGGGTCTAGTCCCATATTACTTGTGTGCCAAAGTTTCTGGTGAATATATAATAATAATAATTTTACGATCAAGTCCTTTTCTTATATGTGTACGACTACTCTTTGCCCCACAATTGATTGGCCACTAGTGACTTGGAAGGGGAGTGGCACACACGTGCCCCTATTGGTCCTAGCCGCTCAAGCTCTTACTCGCAGCTCTTTTTCAACTGTGCTTCTGACCCACTTGTGAGCCTAACTAGCTAACGGGTTCCCCCATTTTGCTATATTTTTATTTTTATTTCTTTTTCTTCATTTATCTCAAAAGTAAGATTGTAAAAATTAAATAAATTTATATAAAATCACATAATACTAAAAAATTCACATTAATCAACTGAAAACTACTTTTCATAGTTTAACACGAATATAAGTCTATTTATCATGAGTTAAGGTTAAAACTATATTATTTACTAATTATTAACTCATGATAATGAAGACTTATCATCCTTTTTCCGGTGATCGTTGGGTGACATAAGGATCAAAGGATGACTCTTTTTCATTGTGAACTACTTATTTTTCTTGAGATTTACTATTTATTTTGTTTGCTTCAGTGTTCTCACTCGCCCAATGGGTAACACACTTGACTAGAAGAATTAGATTCTTGTATGATTTCATTCTTTTCACATCTTTTATTAATTTCATAATTCACCTAGGATTGGAATCGTTTTGTTGTCACCTTGTTAGAAATAATTAGTTCCATCAATGGGAGTACTATTGTTTTAGTTATAGAGGCTTTTGTTTAGTCTAAAGTTTTGTCCAATATTTTGTATTTTCTAGAATCTATTTGTTGTACTATCTTTAATTCTTTATAGGTAAAATTCAAAGGGCAATTGAGTGAGGGGATATGAGGGTATCAATTCAAAGAACAACTATAATACAAATACCAAATGAACCTAAGGAGTTAATTCTAAATGCAAATGACATGAACAAAGATGTTTTGATAGAGAAGATATATGATTTATTTGATTTCTTAGGAAATCAATTTGAATTCCATTATATATTGTTATAAAAATCTTATTGAGGAATTTAGTAAAAAGTATTTAATTTTGTTCAATCTTAGAACAAACAATTGCCTTTGATTGAATATTGGTACAACACATTTTCATTTATCCACAAAAATTATCCCTTTTTAGTTGTTTGAGTGTGATCTACCACTATTCATCTATTATGAGTTTCTATAAATATGAGTCAAATCATTAGAGGACAAACTACAAGAATGTGATGTCATATTGGAGCTAAAACAACAATTAACTTATGGATAAACCTTAGTAAAAAACTTGGTAGATGAATATCGTCAAGAACTTGAGTTTGTCAAAAGGAATATGCCTACCACAAGTTCAAGCCCTAAAAAATATATTTGCTAGTCACATGACGAGATGAAAAACTATATCCCATATATTTTGTATCATATCCTCAACAATGTTGGTATTATTGCCCACAAGATGAATCTATTGGACTCCACCTGCATACACTCAATTTTCCATAGTTCTCAATTTGAAGAACTATGGAAAATTGACCAACCACTTCTCTTATTGATGAAGAGTTCTAATTGATAATCTAATCAAAAGTGATGTTAGACACTCACCGAAGCACCTTTGGCATGTAGGTCCAATAAGGGGGTGCGGTTAGGTTCAATATTGTCATGCCAAAAATAGGTTCACTATTTTGGTAACCTAAATAGTGATGAGGTGGTTAGGTGGTAATTGGGTCAAGTGTGGATACATTAAGGGAACAGATATATGTAACTTTAATGGCTGAACTTGTGAAGTTTTGATGAAGTAAGATGGGAAAATTGGGGCTCTCTCAAACTTGCACTTGGTTATGTTCAAGGATCTCTTCTATCCCCTTTTTCTTCTATCTTAGTTCAACCATTTTTTCTTCTTGCTCAGATTAGTTCTCTCGGTCCTCCTCTTTTCCAAACCTTCTTCTTGAGATCCTATCACATTATTATGCATTTAGATATATATGTGTGTGAAAAATGACAAGGTATCTTATTTTATAAAATAAAAAATATTCCAGAGAAAAGGAAAATTAATAAAAAAATATATTTTATGATAAAAAAATCTCACAACATGAACTGGGTCCGGGAAGCATGTGCTCGAGATCATTTCTGAATATTCCAATTAATTTTTTTCCGAAAACTTTATCCTAATACCATGCTGGCACGAACCCACCCAGGCCCGGTGGAGATTCAGATCGATCTCAGATTCTGACCTGGCAGTTGGGCCAGAAACAGACACCTGCGTATCTGGGGGCGGGCGGCCCATTAAGAGCGGTAGACCCGACCAGACGCTGCATTTGACTCGTCATGGGAGCGTCGGTCTTCTTCCGGCGGTTGCCGTTTGACGGCGGACCGGAATCAAACCGGAAGACCGGCCGGATAGGCGGTTTCGGTCGGCGGGGGAATTGACTTAGCCCTTTTGTTCGACGTGGAGGATTTCTCCCTGCTCCCAATGCCACGTGAGGCCAAAAACCCGGAGGAGCACCAAGCGCATTACGCCAGGTGGATGCTGAATAATATGCCACGTAGAGCGGGGGAGGGCCGTGCCGGCGGGGGAGCTCTTTCTCTGCCTCTAAAATTGGGAGGGAGCGCCGTCTTTCCTCTGGTAAAAATAATCTCCTCCCCTCTCCAACCAGCCTTTATATTCTGACGGAGAGCTCGCCTCCCGCCTAGAACAACAGCCGTCTTCCTCTTTCCTCCTCCTCCCTGCGCAGGGACGACGACGACGCTGATGACGCCGGCGAACGCTCTGCTGTGGATCTGCTCCGCGGCCGCCGGCCTGGTTCTTCTCCGGCTGGCCCTCCGGTGGTGGCGCTGGCTGGAGGAGAGCCTCTACGCCTGCCAGCACTACAAGATCCCCCGGTACGACGAGAGCCTCCAGGAGAATCCCCTCTACCGAAAGGCCGCCGCCTACATCTCCTCCCTCCCATCGCTCGAGGACTCGGACTATGCCAATATCTTCTCCTCCACCGCCGCCGCCTCGAAGAAGAAGATCGGCGGCGACCACCTCTCGCTGCAGCTCGAGGAGGGGCGCACCGTCAGGGACTCCTTCCTCGGTGCTCCGATCTCGTGGACGAACCTCTCCAACGCCGCCCTCGTCATCCGCGTGCGCCGCCGGGACAAGCGCCGCATCCTCCGGCCCTACCTCAACCACGTCGAGTCCGTCGCCGAAGAGATTCAGCTCCGGCGGAGGGAGCTCCGCCTGTACACCAACTCCTGCGGGGGATCGGGGGGACGGCGGTGGAGATCAGCGCCCTTCTCCCACCCCTCGACGCTAGAAACCGTAGCCATGGACGCCGAGCTGAAGAACCGCGTCAGGACAGATCTGGAGTCCTTCTTGAAGAACAGGTCCTATTACCATCGCCTCGGCCGGGTGTGGAAGAGGAGCTACCTCCTCTACGGCCCTCCCGGGACCGGCAAGTCCACCTTCGCCGCCGCCATGGCCAGGTTCCTCTGCTACGACCTCTACGATCTCGACCTGGCCGGGTGCTCCTCCAACGGCGGCGATCTCAAGGACCTCCTCCTCCAGACGACCCCTCAATCGGTCATCGTGGTGGAGGACCTCGACCGGCACCTGCGCACCGCCGCGGCGGCGCCGTCGCCGGAGAGCAGCCTCGCGGGGATCCTCAATTTCATGGACGGGATCTTCTCCTGCTGCGGGGAGGAGCGCGTCATGGTGTTCACCATGAGCGGATTGAAGGAACGGGTCGACACCGCGGTGCTCCGTCCTGGCCGGTTGGACGTCCACATCCACTTCCCGCTCTGCAATTTCCCGACCTTCAAGACGATGGCCAGCAGCTATCTCGGCCTCAAGGACCACAAGCTCTACCCGCAGGTGGAGGAGATCTTCGACGGCGGCGCGAGCCTCAGCCAGGCGGAGATCGGGGAGATCATGATCTCAAACAGGGGATCCACCAGCAGGGCCCTCAAGATGGTTATCACCGCCCTGCGGGAGCAACAGAAGAAACAGCCAGTGCCACCAGCGCCGCTGCCGCAGGTCTCCGGGACATCGGAGAGGATGTCGGCGGTGCCGCTGGGGAAGATTAGCGACGGCGGCAGCTGGTTACCCCCGCCGGAGGAGCATGCAGAGGCGGGCTCGGAAGGGGGGACCCTGAAGGAGATCCGCAAGCTCTACGGCCTCATCAAGCTGAGGAGTGGGAGCAGGAGGGAAGGGGGCGGCGGCTCGCCGCCGTCGGAGGCCCCCCTCGCCGCCGCCGCCGTCGAGAAGGAAATTACCTGCTAGCTCCGCCGCAGCCTCAATCTGCTCCCCCGAAATAGTTTCCGCTGTCATACTCCCCCACCACCTTAAACGATTTTTTAAATTATTTTTGGTCCGGAAATGGACAGCCCACATAAAATAGAAAATTTTCTTTCTCACTCCCATAAAGTCCCTTGAATAACAAAAAATCTGTACGCATTTTCTAATTTGTATATAACTCCAGCGAAATCAAGTGGCCAACAGATCTTTCACCACACACACTGCATTGAATTCGTGTTATTATATTCAACTAGTCAGATGAGGTTAAAAAATATATTTCTGACCTTTTCTGGGCTCGGGCCCAAAGCTCAGGGAGTAATAAGACCGGCGTGCTCTCTCTCTCTCTCTCTCTCCCTCTCTCTCTTCCCAATATGAAGACACCTGGTCTGGGTGTACTACCTAGACAAGAGCTGAGCTTCACGGAAGTCTCGATAAGAGACTATTTTCTGTAATTTTCTTTAAGCTCAAATCTATGGCTTTTATTGAGGTTGAACCCCACAGAGAGAGAGAGAGAGAGAGAGAGAGAGAGGAGTTATCTCCAAGAGAAAGAAATATCGGATCATTTTCGTGATCTGGTGCCTTACGAGGATTTTAGTCTAGAATATATATTAACTAACGAATGAATACGGCGCACATGATATATCGTCGTTATATATATGGAATAAGCGAGTGTAGTATAACCAAATATATTCACATACATTTCATATCTTATATTTTTTAATATTTTCTATTTATAATAATATATTAATTATATTTAATTTAATTATCTATTTTTTGGGTTCAATTGTAGAATCTTTTTTTTTTTATCCACAATTATTTGTTCTGTATGTGATTACGCGTCTAACGACCGGTGGGCTGTGCTTTAACAGCCAGGTGGCGCTGTACGGAGCACGTTAGCCGCTATCCGTCGGGAAGAAACCGTTGCCTAGCTGGTCGATAATCGGGACTGATTGATCCGGCGGGCGGCTGCTATAATGCGCCGTCCGCGGCCCGTCGTCGGCGGCGGTTGGACTCCCCGGGCATTATTCCTCCGGTTCACCGGGCAACTCTTTGATTTCATCAACTCCTCGGAAAATGTTGACCAGAATGAGTCTCTGTCTCTACCCATTCTCTATCCACCTCAATGCATCAGACAGCTCTCTCTCTCTCTCTGTCCGTGGATCACATGGCAGGTGCAGAGGGCGGCGGAGTTAATTGAGTAGGCGACAGGAGCATTTTATTATCTGGCGTTTATGGCATTCACCGCGCTGCGAAGCCAGCCAGCGCCCGCCATTGATGACGCCCGCTGCAGACTGCTGCCCCCCTTCCCTGCATGCGTACCCCTCTCTCTCTCCCCCCTTCCCCCCTCCCTCCTTTTCCTCCGTCTCTCTGTCCACTAATGCGTCCCCGTATTCTCTCTCTCTCGCTCTCTGTCCTCCTCCGTCTCTCTGTCCACTTGAACTCTCTCCGATATTACTATCTATCAATCTCTCTTTGTATACTCATCTCTTCTTCTTCGTCTTCTTCTTCTTCTTCTCTCTCTCTCTCTCTCTCTCGGTCTACCCTATCAATCTCGTCCTGTTCTCTCCACCCCTCCCCCTTACACGCGCAGAATGGGATCAGAAATCGGTTCCGTCCGAGGCGCTTCCAGACGGGGGTGGGGGGGGGCAGTTGGCCCGTCTCCACCATCTTGTTCCGTTCTACACAGCCGATGGTGTTGACTGCGATATGTCGTCACACCAAAGATGGACCCCCACTGGTCAGCCTGACGACCTTTGCCCCAACAGTGGCGGACGGAGATATGGCGTCATCACGTGACACAGAATATAAATTAAGATTTTTTCTTCGAACTCGAGCCTAAGTTTCCTCAAAAAGGCATCTTTCTTGGCAAGTATCCTGATTTTTTAGGATTTTTACGACATTTTTAAGGCAAAATCGAACAGGGGTATGTATATATAATATTTGTACATAAAATATTTATTACGTCATTGTCCACCCTAAACCATTATCTGTACTTCCTCGAGGTGGGGATTACAGTCAGCATCCTTAGAATGCCATGTGGCACGAGGGTAGTTGGAGAGCGTAGATTGTTGACCCACCAAACTTTGACCTTAGGGGCGAAAGCCATCTGGTGAAAGTTGAACTTTTTAGTCCCAACTCTTTAGAAAGTCGGCCTCTTCTGGAGCCCTAGCTTGGTCGGCAGATGCCCAACACTTTCCATCCCTTTGGCCTGAGAGAGAGAGAGAGAGAGAGTTAAGTAGTGACTATGAGAAGGTCAGGCTTGGACATGGTGTTGGGCTTCAGAAATGGGAAGTGAGTTGGGCTGAGCTCTGCTCTCACCCGTTTATGGACTCACTGTGTTTAGACTAATTGCCATCATATAAAATTAGCTCAATTTAGAAAGTTTTGCGGGCTTTGACCTAGGCTATAACTTGAGGAATATAATCTTCAAATTTGAGTAGTTTTAGATTTGATTAGGTTTTTTTAATGGTTTTATTCATCCTCATACCAGTTTATGAAGTAGAGAGAGAGAGAGAGAGAGAGAGAGAGAGACGGTCACAGTATGTACTGTTGTCGCGGTCTGACTTTTGGGCCAGCTGGGTTCGGTAGAGGGCAGCAGCCGGCTTTGGAAGCCGCCGTAAGGTGCCATCAAAGGGGAAGGACGCTCGTCCCTCTCCCCGGCCCGGTCCGCCAACCTTCGGGGACTCTCCGACGGTCAACCAAACGGCCCACCTTCGGCTGTCCCTCCGTGGCGAGCATAATCAACGTGGGAGAGAAAAAATGTCAACGCGTAGGTTGTCGCGCATGTGTTCTAGAGAGAGAAGCCCTCCGTTTGACTCTGACCGGGTTTTCAAAGACCTCACCGGGGGCCCATCATCGCCTGCATAGCTCGCTACCCACGGGGGCTGCTTATTCTGTGAGACTCTCTTTTGGGCTGGCCCAATAAATCACGATGGACCGTTAAAGCAATCCAGACATGCTTGTGGCCCATCATATCGTCCACCTTGTGATTGAATTAATCATCATCAAGGTCGATGAAAAATCAGAAGGCAATGACTATACAATTCTTTAATTATATAAGAAGATCATCAGAACACGATGAGAAACTTGGGATTTTTAAGTTATTAAATTAAATTAAACCCCGAACCCAGGATCAACCTAGATCCGGTGAAGATCAACGACAAAATAATTACTAGAATCATACACACCTCCCTCTCTCACTCTCTCTCTTCTCTCCCTCTCCCTCTCTCTCTCATCTTTTATCGAGCCTTTTGAAGAAAATAGGATGGAATTATTTTGCAGCAGATGAGAGAATTCTTTGTAAATATTAATCATGGGTTAGAGGAGTGATTAGTTACCAAAAGATGCATCGGGTGTTGGGCCATAAAACGGCATATGAAAAATGGGTATTATTGATGTCCATAATTTGGACCAAATTATGGGAAGCCATAACAAAATAACTCATTAATAAAAATGCAACGCAGATTTGAAATGATGATCTTGGCAGTTGATCTCTGCTCAGCTCTTCATTTAGTTAATGGAGGATTATTACTGGTTGAAAATATTAGAGGTAATTATATTGGTCACAAATTACTTTGATTTTATTTTGGCATCTATAGAGTCACGAACATTTAAGGACAAACTTATGGAAGATTCAACAAATTTTAGAAAAACATTATTTTAACCAGAAATCAAAATCTTACGCATTCTAATTTGAAAATAATGCAGCTATATATATTTAAAATATTCAGAAATTAGGATATTACCAAGAAAACAGCTGAAACACTAGCGCAGGAATCGGGCCTTACCAGGGTGTCTGGTAGACCTTCCACTCAGTGGGTTTAGCCGCATCTTCAAATAACTCGCCTTTCTCCGTGTTCTGAGATCCCGATAGGGTGGAGGGGAGCCAAATCCACCACCACCCGCGGCACCAACGATGCTTCGTCAAGGCCCCTTCGTCCCGTCCCTCCCGGCGGTGCTCTCTTCTCCTGCCACTGCCTCCGTCCTGCTCCAGCGCTTCTCCTCCGCCGCCGCGCCGCGGCCCCTGAGATCCCGCGGCGGCCTCCGCCCCCCATGCGGCAACTCCGGCGGCGGCGCCGCCGGTACGGGCGACGGGCTAAGAGGCTTCCTCGGGGAGCAGGTAGAGGCCCTCTTGAAGAAGGAGGAGAATCGGGCCCTCCTCGACGGGCTGGAGGAAGCCTCCAGCCGCGTGGACGCCGCTCGCCGCGCCCTCGCCGACATCCAGCGGCAGGAAGCCGAGGCCGCCCGTGCCAAGGAGTACATCCTCCAGCTCCAGAGCCGCCAATCCGAGGTCCCCCGCCTTCTACCTTCCCTTCTCCTCATGGGTAGAGGAATCACAGTTGTTCTTATTCACGCGGCATTTGATCAGGACCCGATGCTTCTCTCCAGATTGAAGAAACCCAGAGGGAGCTATTGGAGGCGAGGAGCATGGTGGAGGAAGCAGAGCGTTCCCTCTCGCCAAATATGGGGGAGAACACGCCGGGAGATGCAGCTGAAGGTGGGGAAATAATAGACAAGGATCTGGAGAGGCTGGAGTCCATCAAGGCGGCGATGATTTCTTCCGCAGTGGGAACCCTAGCGGGCGTACCCATCTCCGCCTATCAAGCCACCAGCACCACCCAGTGGGTGGCTCACCTGGCAGTCATCTTCCTCAGCTGCGCTCTGTTCGGGGTAACCTTCCGCTACACTGTGAGAAGGGACCTGAACAACACTCAGCTCAAGACGGGGACATGCGCGGCCTTCGGGTTCATCAAGGGTAACCCACCATTCTCTGCAAATTTCTCTAGATGTGTTGCAGAGGCCCTCTGAAAAGCCCGTTCGTGGCTGTCAAATTGCAGGGCTCTCGACGGTCGAAGCTGGGAGGGGGGCTTGGGAATTCAGTGGCATCGACGGCTTCCTGCAGCTTGCTGCCGATGGAGCGATTCATGTCTCGGAGAGCACATTCATCTTCCTCTTCTCAGCCGTGGCTCTGGATTTCTGCTTCAAAACGAGGGTCTTGAGTCCTGGTCCCATCAGAAAGTAATCTGAGGAGCAATCAGTAACTTGGCAGTTGTCACTCAGGCTGGAAGAAAACTGTTTATATGCCTCTGAGTATACTGTGAGATCCCAAATTGTAGAAACAAAAATTAATAATAAAAATTTCACATCTAGCACAGTAGAAGGAAATGGATGGAAGAATTTCTCTGTCATGGTCTGAGCGTTTATTCCAAGAAGAGAAGGATCCTGTATGCACCTTCCCCTTCACAACTATGCTCCAGTGGTTCTCAGGCAGCGCAGGTGTTCAGTTGTGAGCGTGGACATTCTTTCGATTTTCTGTAACCTTATGGACACCTTTCTCAAGCTTGCAACATTGAAGACTAGACAACGATTTCATGTGAAATTCCCATGAAGATGTTTGGCTTAAAGATGTACAAAGGCACACACCTCAAGAGGCTTGAAAGCTCGGGGCTCGAGCAAATGAGCTCTGTACACTCGGTTTTTCCCTGATGTTATTGATTCTCCACAGTGATCGATAATATGCAAGAGTAGAATCACATTTAGTACAATTCACAAAGCTGGGTTCGTGATGATCCAGCATAACTGCAATGAGATGACGCGGTGACAGCGTCACTTTCCTGGAGGGTCATGGTCAGCGTTGTTGATATGATTAATGGGCTGAGCTTGAGCAGCACCCAACACCGAAGTCAAACACACCTCCAAAGCATAAAATCCCAATTTCATGCGCATCTATTCTTGACCTTGGACCACAAACTCAACCCATTTAAAAGCACAAACTAGTCCAATAGCATCTCTTCATTGTCCAAATGCTTTTAATTGTTCGGATGTCTCAGATGATCCACCAATCTCTTCAGGGCTTCGCTCCCTGCAAGTCCATATCTTGACAATTCCTGCACGAAGGACAGTTACTGTTTGAACTTGATCCAATCCAATACACGCAGCAGGTAGAGGGGTGGAAGAAAGTTACATCTTCTCCAGGTGTCATCGGCATCCTTCTTTTTTGCCGGGAAGAGGTATTTTACGGCTTTGTCCAGCAGTGGAATGCCGTTGATGTCTCCATTCCTTATGCTTGCTTCCAGCTATCAATGAAAACATTACCGGGATTTATGACATAAATTAGTGATTCAGGGTGGAGATGGAGTCACCAAAGCTGTACCTGAACGTGGAAGATGCAGGCAAGAATGCTGAAAATAGGCAACCAGCTGTCGTCCGGGGAGATTGACAAATTTGTCCTGTAAATAAAGGAACGATCATGATGGGAGAAGATTGATAGATCATTTGGGTGAAGACAGAGACCCAGTTTTGACGTCAAATGGATTGTGGAAATTAAGCTGGGGTTGCTATAGAGTAGGGCGGATTCCATCGATTGGCACAGAGTTGTAGGAATCGAAGCATAAGGCCAATTTTTATGCATTAGAGGTAACGGAAAGACATTATTGAAAGAGGATATATATGTATTCTTTCTGATCCATTCCTAGGTAATGGAGCAGCTAAGTGCGGTAAGGAGAACAGAAGCTAATAAAAGAGATCCAGAAAACAGTGATCAACACACTGATGTTTCCCTACTAACTTTTCTATCACAGGTCAAAGGCAAAAAGTTTGGCTTAGGTCGTCTATATAGACAGCATTTTCCCACTTCTATAGTCATGATTTATCAGTGAGCCGCTCTAAACTAAATTCTGCTTGATTTTCTTGAATGACTTCTTCTCTAAGATATGGCAACTAAGAAGGCAACATTCTGTCTATTAGACTTTAGAGTCCATAACGTGAGGAAGAAAGAAACTCGGTAAAAGATCAGAGCAGCGGCACAGATTTTGCAGAAGGCAAACTGCAACTGGTAAGGAACTTCTGCCCTCACTAGATTTTCCCGGTTGCACTTGCTTTTGCGTGGAATCACAAAGAGTTTTTTTATGTTTGGAAGCCAACAAGTCTTTTTCACGAGGTATACATTTAAAAAGATCCAAAGAACTTTTTATTATTGTAGGCAAGCCTCATCAAATCAGCATTGGTTTCATAGATAAGAGATGTTAGTTAAAAATGCAGATGTCTCAATATAGCCGCAACTTTCAATAAAAACAAACTATTCTAGGGCACGGAATCTCCATTGTGTTCGTACAGCAAAGCAGACAAAAGAAAATCCGAGGAACTGAATGGTTTACTGCCAACAATAGCATTCTAGATTCGTCAAACTTTGCAAATGATCAAGAAAGGGGCATGGGCGGTACATATGAACCCATTCAAGTTTTCGCTGAGATTTAGAAAAGAAAAACTTTCAGCCCATTCATTTTATGGTGTTGGGTCTGATCACAGCAGCTACTAAATCTAATTTAACAACTACAGCTTCCCACATTAATCCTATCAGAAGTGTGCATTGAATCCCAAGTGACTATGAACAAAAACAAAGAACAGAGAAAAATATGAATATATTAAACGGCCCGAAGTAACCAAACTTGGAATGATTTTATTGAAAGGGAATTGGACTGAGTTTGAGCTTGTTCTTTTCTATCGGGCTTGATTATGTCATGTCTGGACTAAGCTTGGCCTATCGGCATACCCACGTTCAAATAGGAGCTGCCTAAAGCTGAAAACAAATGTCAGTAATGTGTAAGATTCATAATGCTGGGCGATACATTTTTTTGGACAAGAAAACTATGAACCAGCAAACTCTAGCAAATGTGATGGAAGTATTGTCCACGTTCTACGTCTTTTATTGAAAGGAGTAACAAGAGCCGATGGCTTATTTAGGGAAAATAATGTGAACTACCAGACGAAGGGATTGAATATAAGGCTAAATAGAGATGAGACACAATCACACCATACTAGAAGCTGAGCATTAATTTAGTCTCACATGTCTCAGAAGATGATCATTACGCAGGAAAAAAAAGATGTGGTCATGAATAAGAGGCCTCGGTTAGTTTAAAACAAGTCCATCATCTGTATAATATACCCCAGTAAAAACATTTTAAATCCTTAACCTTATGTAGGGAGCCAGGTACACGATTGAATAGACCAGGTAGCGTTGCCGGCCAGTATCTAGCCATGCGAAAATCCAGCTCTATTAATAAGCAGACGGGGAGAGGAAAAGAGACACATGATTAACCGTTATCAGCAAAAGAAGAGAAGCAAACTGAATCAGAAGGATAGAATAGCTAGGTCAATGGTGCCTTACCATCCAATTGAAGTAAGGGATTACGCTTAAGATCCCCATCACCCCAAACCTCGTGTCCGTGAAATCAATCCCACCGAAATCATCATCCTCCGTGCCCTCGTCAGGATCATTACGGACCGGGAAGGCGAGTGAGACTAGAATGGAGGCCCCAATGGCGACAGCGAAGGGTGCGTCCTCAGCAAGGTGCGCCCTAACAATTCCCTTCATTCCCTACCTCCAGGATGAACAAGACTAAGCGGACTCCATGCCCAAACAAACAACTCACGGGGCCAGGATCAGACTGGAAAGAAGAATGCCGGCAATGATCAACACAGTTTACCAGGGAGTCATGCAGCCTCCTCCTACACCTCCTCGTCGTGGTAGTCGATGGCAGCCAAGTACTCGTTCGCTTCCAGCCGGGTATTCTCTGGCTCGAGTACAGCAGCGACGGTTTCCCAGAGAGGAGGGAGGAGGAATCAGACCCGTGGAAGCGGGTAGGAGGAGGACGAAGACCCGAGATAGCCCCAACGAAAGCCATGGTGCGGCAGCTGGCAGAGAGGAAGCGCACCCCAGGGGATTTCCCCCGAGGGTTTTAGCAAGATTGGGGAGGAGCGGTGCTCTACTACTTTCTGGCGGGAGCAGCCATCCACCCCGACACGTATCCCTGCTTGTCTGCGGGGACGGCTCCGACGAGGATCTGACTCTAGAAATGGCCCAATAAACGGCTTAATAATCCAACAACAACTAGTCCATTAGGAATCAATGTGCACCATTCTTAATCTATACATACACAATTTAAAAATTTTAATCATCATTTTTTTTAATTAACTGTTTTTTCAATGATTCCAAGAAAAGAAAATGATAAATACATTGATAAATTATTATTATTATTATTATTTTATTAGCAGAATGGCATCACGAGACAATCGAGATGATGTGGCCGGTATAGCTATGTTCGTCCCCCTGCTTATTTATGATGTCCTCAAATTCTGGTATTGGATAATGCTTATTTTCCATTTACCTTTATTTTTATGTGATTATACGAAATGAGCTAGAATGCTCTAATTACCTCATTTATGAGCAACGCACTCCGATCAAGTAAAATTAATCACCAGAATAGAAGATTTTTATAGAGAACTGACTGTCTTTATGGGGACGGCAACCGGTAAGTTTTCTCATCATCCTGTTCAAATAATCCCAGATCTCAGAAGTCCACCTCTTTGACTTTCTAGGAGCTTCTTCGTTGGCAAGTTTCTTCATGCATTCGAATGACTGTAACGTCTCCCAAGAAAGTAGGAGTCAAGAGAAGTTTTGACTATTTTGGGGGTTGCAGGAAAGAGACAGAAAAAAAGTGGGTTTTCAAGATAAAAGGAATCTCAATTTATTCTTTCTTTTTTTATTTATTATTCGTTACTTGAATGGAGGGAAAAACTGACACCAACCGTCCTCCTTTTTCTTTTTAAAATCCTAGAAAATCCCATTTTCTCTGTTGCAGAAAACGTCGGTGGTGGCTCTCGGATGATGCCATGTGTTGGATCTTCCTCGAGCCAACTGGAGCTCCTTTCTCTGCTACATGACTGGCGGAGCCCTCCCCACGTCGCGGGAGTAGGTGACCAGAGACGCTTTGTTTAGGCCTGGTGGGGATGGTGGCTCGCCCAATCGGCCAGCGCCACCGTCGTTCCCCGACCACTCCGGCGGCCGTCTCGGGGGGCGATGTGGTCGTCGGCCCTCCCTCGCCACGGCTGCCTCCGGTCACACTTCCCTCTGCAGCTATCGTCCCCAGCAGCGGCACCACCCCGTCCCTGCGCCATAGCTCTCAGGATTAGCTCATCCCGCGGCCTCCCCTCAGAGCCGCCCGCATCTTTTTCCTTCCGCTCCTCCTACTCCTCCCTCGAGGTCATCGGTGGCGCCGCCGGTGCGCTGCTCCACGGAGCCGCGGGTGGCCAGGGCCTACGGTTGACGCCGTACGACGTCTTCCCCATCCTGGGGTGGAACAATCACCTGGAGACCATTTTCGCTGCATTCTTTCGATCCGTTCCCGAAGTGTGCCTCCGGAGGGAGTGCATCCGGACGATTGATGACGGTTCGGTGGCTCTTGACTGGTGCTGCGGCGACTCTCGGTTACTTCCCGCTGACGCACCCGTGCTCATCCTGCTGGTTCATCTCAACTTTCATGGCTCTGTCTGTTATTGGGTTTACTTTGAGTTTCTTCATCGTAGTAGAGTTTGATGATTTGCTTTTGCATGCAGCCGGGCCTTACGGGAGGGAGTGGGGATTCTTATGTGAGACACATGTTATTGAAGGCGCGGAGCAAAGGTTGGCGGGTTGTAGTGTTTAACAGTAGAGGCTGCGGCGATAGCCCTGTCACGACAGCTCAAGTATGTGGACCCTTCTTGCGTATGCCTGCCTGACTTCTCTGTTATTTCACTTCGTGTATTTTTCGAGACGAAGGCACAGCTGGGATTTCCCACATATCTGGATTTTGCTTATCTATGAATGGATGTTTATGAGTCATGTTTTTAGAATGAACGTTGGGACGCCGACTTGATTTGGTCCCATTTCTGACGAAAGTCTCTTGAAATCCTGACTTTCTCTGAACTTCTGTATAGAGGGCATCTTATGTACCGGAACTCCTTTAGTTCCTCTTCTTAGTCCCTTAATGTGGCTGCTAATTCTCTTGATGGCCTTATCTTGATGCATCAGATAATTTTCTTCTCTCCGTTTGGAATAAAAGATGGCCACACACTGGCGTTGTGCATGAACACTGTTTTAGAATCATCTATTCCAACGTAAATACAGATATTGATGCTACACTCCTGATTCTATCTCAGTAATCTATCAAAACCAATTCCTGTTGACTATAACAAAAATATTGTGCAATTATCCATTTCCCAACAAGAAAACAGACATCCTTTTGTATCATAAGAAAAGTATGAGGAAAACATCACTGACACATGATCTGTCAACGTGTTAGATCACCTTCTTATGACAAATTGAAAGCTCTGGAGAGAAAAATATTTCTTTCATCCATTCTACATAAAAAAATATTGCTTTCATGACCTTCCAAATTTTCTTCAATCTACAAGTTATCTAATGATAAGGTATCTTTATTTATCCCTATTGGATACTCATTTAAGTTTTATGAAATCTTCATCTATGTTTTTTTTGCAAATAGCCATAATCCACAAGGTAGTGGTAAGTTTTGGCTGGTCAGTCACTCTATATCTTACAATTTTACCATTGATTTTGTTCCACTGAAAAACAACCGCCTTTGTAAAAATCTCCCATGTGACCCTTATTTTCTTATAATGAACGCAAAGCATGATCGATACTTTCAAATGTCACAGAGAAAACATCTGAATGCAGCTTCTGTTCAAAGATTCTTATTCTATTTCCTATTGCCAACGTTAGGCGAGGTACTTTATAGAGACGAATTGTGATTTTCTTTGATAGTTTCCCCTGTAGAAGTTCTTACACCACTCTACATCCACTGCCTTCACCAGTATCAACAGATGCTCTTACTGAGAAGTGCTGCTTGGGCAGTGATTTTTGAATTTTTGATCAATAGAGTTATTGTTTATTTAAGTTTAGCAATTCAATTCTACATCATCGAGATATCCTCAGGTTCATCATCAGTAATCCCCCTTGTGATTTGGAAGGCCATTCCTGGTAACCCAAAAGTTATGTTGATCTAATAACGTAATCCTGGAGGTGAACGGAATCAGTACGTTCATAAGTCAGGCCCTTCATATATCTGGACTAAACAGCTTTTAAATTCACAAGGAGTTTGGAGTACCAACAAAATATACTCAATACTTAAAAATGGGTACTTTTTTTGGATTTCTCAAATAAATGCCTTGGTACTCTTAAGATTATTGCAGTAAAGCTCCTTATGAATCATTCATGTCAACTCAGTAGCACGCACTGTGGCAACACATCCCCTGGTTGCTGTTTGCTGGTTTTTCTGTCATCCAATCAGCAAAAATCGAATTACATCAGCAAGCACTTTGCTTTTATTCAGATCTATTCCATTCTTCCTGCTCCAGGGATGATCTTGCTTCTTTTTCCTTCATTTGGCTACTTTGATGTTCCAGTCTAACTTTTAAAAGTCCGTAGCTATTTGGACCATAGTGGCCTTGTGAATGCAAATCAACATTCTAGCTGTTCATGCTAAATTTTTTAGCTTCTTAATTTTGGACTCTTGTTTTTAAAAAATCTGCTCAAGGCCGGATAGTTCAGTCACTTAAAAACACAATGATAATGATTATTGAATATTTACATCAATTGAGATGAATCATATCGGTTTAAAACAATCCATGAAACGCATTTTTTGTTTTATGTCAATAAATACCATTTTGATCTATATCTTCATGTTCGTTTCTGTAGCCTCTAAATTTTTATATACTGATCCTGATTCTGTTTAACTATATCTGTACCTTGGTTTGGTACAGTATGCCTGTCTTCCATCCACATAGTCAGATCATGTCACACGTGCTGGGCAGTATTCTTTTCGCACCCTAATAGTGTTTTAATTTTTTCAAAAAGTATAGGTACTATGATGCTATTCACAAGAGAGTTTGCTGAGAATAATCATGAGCTCGTTATCACCAAGGACAGTTTGATATAGATTTCGAGCTTGTTGTATTTTTCCAATCCTTGTGAATTAAAAAGAAAAAAAAGTTAAAATTAATGGCGATGACGGAAAGAGACTGAAGTTAGAGACAAGTTCGAGGGTAGATGAAAGTAGTAGAAGAAAAGCATAGTGGGATGGGTTGGCACTTTCAACTTCTGGCATTGACGTGTAGCAGAAGATGGTTCACTGGAAGCAGCTGGTGGTTGTGGCACTGCAGCCTCTTGTTATATGAAAAGAGTGTACTAATAAAGACTCAAGATTGAAACAGTACACTAAGATGGATAGTCATGCTTAAATGGTTTCTGCAGTCAAGTATATTGCCATGAATATGGATGCATAGCTTGTTTGGAGCAGAGGCTAGCCGAGGGAACTAGCAACAATGTCTCTCCACTGATGGGGTGGCTTCAATGGTGGACCATTTTTTATTTATAATAAAGTCAAAACTTTACTAGTCAGTTGTTAAATCCATATTGCATTCAATCAGTGTTCTCCACCTTGTAGAATCATTTTTTGAATTGTATAGTTATGCACATTTCCTTCTCGACCTTCCTTTAAGGGACTAAAATGCTAGAAGTCGCATGACCAAAATTTTGAAAATATATTCATAATTTATTAAACATCTCTTGTGCTGAAGTTTTATTTTGGTCATCCAACTAATTCATACTTTTATTTCTAAAATTGGGATTGTTTTTCTTATGTTGGATACTGAACTTCTAAAATTGAAGATATTTATGCATACTTCTTATGTTGAAGATATTTTGTAATCTAAAATTTCAGTTTTGAATTTTCTTACTCTTTTGTTGTCAAGGACATTTGAGATTGTTGACTAGATGAACGAGTGATTTACTTTAGTCAAGTTATCAATTCTTTAGCCAATTACTTTAAACCGAAGCTCAATGGTAACATACATGTCATATGTTCGTGTTACAAGGTTATATGTGGTTTGTTGTGCATTTTAGATGGTCATTCTTGTCCCCCCTATGAAAATGATATTTGATATAATAGAATTTTGTATGAATAAATTACTATTTTTCATATACATCCATGTTCTTTGTGCAGTTTTATTCAGCCTCTTTTACTCGGGATCTTTCTGAAGTAATAAATCATGTTTCATCACGTTATCCCAAGTCAAAAATATATGCAGTTGGCTGGTCACTTGGTGCTAACATTCTTGTTCGATATCTTGGTCAGGTGAGCCATACAGTTTCTTTTCTATAGATTGGTGGTGTCAATGAAACGTCTTTATGACTGGTTGGTTACAATATATTTTACAATCCTTTGATGAACATAAATTGATTTCTTTCCGACTTTTGAGCTATTATCTTATTTTTCGTGTTTATTCAACTTTTGTTAGGTAAACCAGTAGACTGATGGAATAAAGGATCGCAAGTTTGTGGATACTAGTAAAGTTATGATTTGTTTTTGATACATAATGCTTGCACGAAAAATTTATGCTTGAGTTATTCGATTGTAGTCCACTCCTGGGTATTTGTTCACATCGTTCAGGATCCTAATAATCGTATTTTATCTTCATTATATTTTGAATATATTTTTTCATTGAAATCCATCGACTCATATGCAGTGGTCAGGACCTTGACTGTGCCGACAGGATTACTTGACTGTCTAATTTTCGACCGTTGAAGATGATGAAGTTTTATGTCTTCATGCATTTCAGGAAATGAGAGAATTAATCCGTGAAAAGAATTATGTTTTGATGTGGAAAGAATCTTGACGCAAAGAATTTTGATGTGGAAATTTATGATGGAATTTAACTGTCACAGTAGCAAAAAGTAATTCGCTCTTCTGTTTTCGTGGGATTTTTGAAAGCTGGTATCAATTTGGAAACTATTTTTAGGATTATCAAAAATAGATTAGAAAATCTATCAATTTATTGGCACTCGAAATTCGAATGTTTTGATTTATCTACTGATCCCATCTAAGACACTGAAAGACTTGTAGAACCACCGAATCAGCAGATCAGACAAGAAATTTATTTTCAGTCTTCATGATAAGTCTGATTGCTTGAACAGAGCAGTCTGACATGTAGTGCGCTAATAGCTGGACAACCTAGCTGTGAGGATCTCTACTTATGTAGTGCGTTAATAGTCTGAGATGGTGGCATATTTATGGTTTTTTAATTATTTATTTTAGTTCTTAGTGGGACAGGATCTCTAGCAGCATATGGAATCAGTTCATCCAGCTATTTATCAAAGTTGCTATGATATTACAGTTCTGTATCATTATTATTTCTCTCCACTGAAAGTTTTTTGCAGATGGTAGTTAACAGTCATTTACTTATATTTTGCCATAAGAAATGCTGATTTCATATTGAGATTGACATTGAAAGAGTTACTCATTCATTTGCGTATCGGAATTTGATGGACAGATGAAGATCCTTTGTTTTATGTACATCACTGTCTCATTCGTCATGCCATCTCTGGTTTTTATGATTCTTGCTGCGAGTTCAGTCTTCAATTTCATCTATACTATTTTGGCCTAAAGAGTTGTTGCGTGTTCAAGTTTCCATCTTTGGCTTTATGATAATATTCTCCCACAGAAATGTATTTACAAGATGTTTTGATGACAAATATCCTTTGCAATGGCACGAGACATAATTAGATTAAGAAGTTGAATTTCTCCATATGTACAAAAGTTGCAACGACTGTTAACGCTTATCCCCTTATTGCAGGAATCTCACAATTGTCGTATCTCTGGGGCAGTGTCCTTGTGTAACCCTTTCAATTTGGTAATTGCTGATGAGGATTTTCATAAAGGATTCAATAATGTGTATGACAAAGCTCTGGCAGGAGCCCTACGCAGGATTTTTAAGAAGTATCCATTCCGTCTCTATGATCTATTGCGCATTTCATGCATATCCACTCGTGGTAGTTTTTCATGTATTGATTCTCCTTCAGGCACTCTCTTCTCTTTGAGGATATGGGTGGTGAATATAATATCCCACTGGCAGCTAATGCCCAGTCTGTTAGGGATTTTGATGAAGCGTTGACTCGTGGTAGGGATTAAGCTGAATGAGTCCGAAAAATCCAGAACGAATGTCATTTCAATTCGGTAAAAATGTCTTCTTGTGATTCGTTGCAGTCTCATTTGGTTTCAAGTCCGTGGATGATTATTACTTCAACTCGTCAAGTTCAGATTCAATAAAGGATGTACGAACACCCCTTTTGTGCATACAGGTAATGCTCACATGTTCAAGCTGTAAACTACAACAGCAACGTTTTTTCTCAGGTTTCAACCTTTAGAAGTTTAGTACCTTTCACTCTCTTTGTTTGTTGAACTAATCAGTGTAGGGATGCTACAAGAAATATTGTATTGCAGCTATCACTGTGAGTTCTTTATAAATATTCTCTCTAAGATTGTGTTGAACCTTGATATACTTATCAAAGTAACATATTATAAATTTCTTGCAATCAATTGTGCTCAATCTACTTAACATTGCCTGTAGTTATCTGGGAGATTTCACATTTCGGATGAAATCCCTTTCTCTCATGGGTGCCGTGCACATGGGGTTGATGTCCTTGGAACAGACATTTACTATGGATCAGTGGTATGATAAGATACCACGAAGCAAGAAAAGAACAAAGAGTTTTTGTGGAATTCAGTGAGAACAGGAGCAAGAATGTCAAGAAAGGGACTCCGAATTGGAAACCCCAAACACCAGTGCTAACCTTTTGAGAGGGTTATCTCTCTCCCATGTCCTTCCCCAAAGACAACCTCCCCCCCTCCTTTTTTTCCCTCAGGAAATTTAGATATTAAACCCTAACATGTGGGATTTCGCCTTATTACACCTCCTGGGATATGTGATATGGACTGGGGACCTTACATGGTGTTACCTTCGTTTTATAAACTGTAGTTAAACCAAAGGGCATGGACTGGAATATATGGTTTCGACCTATGAGCGCCAAATTTATTATGGATACATAATTTTCAGTTTCCTGGATATTTCCTCAATTGAAACCCACCTGGAATGAGGCTTTAAAAACTCACATCTTGATTGTTTTGCATGAAATTTATTCTCACATCATGCGTTTTTTTCCAAGGTCTCTAAAGCTTAAACGTGGAGTTTATCTTAACATGTTGTAACATAGGATGAAAAAACTTTCATATATCGCTGCGTTTGTGTTAGTCTTGATGATTTTTGTATAATTTCATCTCGGTGATCATTTGGTAAACCCTCGGATGATGGTGGTTGCCATATTATCTTATATGTATCAGTGAGAAAAGTCTTCAAGATATGATGTCGATACTCAAGTTTTACCCATCATGTGCAGGCTGCTAATGACCCAATTGCACCATCAAGAGGCATCCCTCGGGATGAAATCCAGGTATATTCTTGCCACCCGTAGTTAGCTCTGTATTTTCTGGGTTTTATCTCGTTTCCCTCCCGGAATATTAGTGCGTTATGGGCATTTACGCGACTTCTGTGATTAATTGCTATATATTCTGATTATGGTGAAGTTTGTTCATCATTTATTGATAAATATGGTTCTGAACTATGTATTGATTTCGATTTTTGTTCGAAGGCAAACCCACACTGTCTCCTTATAGTGACTCCACAAGGTGGCCACCTTGGGTGGCTGGCTGGCAGTGAGGCTCCATTCGGAGCCCCTTGGACGGATACAGTGGTCATGGACTTCTTAGAGCTCCTACATGCTGGAAAAACCAGGATTCCATTTGGGGTTTCTGATCAGACCACAGTTGCAACCGGGGATCTTAATGTTGGTGGAGATATGAAATCTCATCCTCCTGTTGCAGTACCCGTACAATAACACTGATTTCGTTTTAGATAACCTCACCTTCTCTCTCTCTCTCTCTCTCTCTCTCTCTCTCTCTCTCTCTCTCCTCTGTATTTTCAAAAGCTCATATCCCAGTGCGTCCCCTGTATTTATAATTCATTGTCAACACACTATTTTTATGACCTTATCAATCTGTAATTTCTGTGGAGCCTTGACTCCTTGGAACCATTTTTTAGTAAATATTCTTCAAGTGTATTTTTCTATGAGACAGGCAATATTCTTATGGCCACTGTCCTATGCCTTCAGTTCATTATTTGTCTTTCTTCAACAGTGTTCTTCGTGGTGCCACCAATGGGCGAAAAATAGATGGGAGGTAGGAGTTGTTAAGAGAACCTTCCATATTCGTACGAATAACTTGTGCTAAAGCTTCCAAAAATCAGATTATGATGTCTGGGGGAACGTTGAGAGCGGCCTTTGTGTCCATTCAAAGCATTAAATTGTGAGTAATTCTTGTGACAAGCTTCTTTGAGGAGCACTAGTAGTCATGGAGACGACATTTTCTTGATTTGTAAATATAAATTATTGAAGACGGATAACAACAAGTCACTTAGAGACAACTTACAAGATGAATGGATGCAAATTCTAGATGTTGTTCAGAACTAGTGAGAAAAATTCTCAAACTCTTCTGGTCTCTCTTTTTTAATTAAGCATGATTCAATACTTCAATGGAACCTGCAAATATCTAAAAATTTTGAGTACTTGAATAAAATAATAATAATCAAATATTGCTATTGTTCGGTGGGTAGTGGCTTCATGATAGCTTGGTAAGCTTCTCTCCATGAGAGTGGACCTATTAGGTACAATAAGAAAATGATGTTCTTTTTTAAATGATGGATTAGTCCTTTTTTAACTGATGGAATAAGATAGGAATATTTTCAAGGCAATTCAGAAAGAAGACTCCAATCTAGGAAGCTTTACTCACTATTGATGACTAAGGTGTTCATTAGTAGAGACTAGATTAATTGTGATTTGGTTCTCTTGGACTACTAAACTTCATAGAAATATGTTTTTGGGTTATAATATCCAAATATAATATGTTAGTTGACTTCTAGGTGTCAACTCACCTTCACTCGATTCATGGCTCACGTATTGTGAATCACTCCATCACTCATCAAGGTTCATGGCCCAAGTGCACACCAATAATTTGTGATGTAGAATCCCACTCTAGGGAATGAGAAATGCCTAAAATTGGTGACCTAGTCACCTCAAAACATAAAAACATAGGCTAAAAAGTTTTGAAGGCCCAAAACAAGTCCAAGCTTAAAAATTCAAAAGTGGGTCGAAACCCACCCACATAGATAAATAATTATTTTTATAGGATAACTATTTCAGTATTAATTTATTTTGATCTCATTTTATTTAATTGATGTTATTCTTGGGGAGTTAACAACATATTTTAACTCATATAAAGGGTAGCATGTTGTAACTTTAGGGAGGCCCATTGAAATTGATTTTTTGTTCTCTTCATGAGATATCCATTAACTTATGGGTTCAAGCAAAACTTATACATTGTAGGAGCATCATTGTAATCCTTGTGGATTTAAAAGTTGTTGAAATCATTATTTATGGACTCGAAGATTGAGGAGCTAGTATCCTATGGACTAAATGATCGTTTTTTGTTCTTCCTTTACTTCTCTTAGGTACATTTTATCATAATGATGAGCTTCTACCATTATGGTTAAAATTATTTATAGGAAAATTAGATTCAACCTTATAGTTGTGGATTTTAGAATATTATTATAGTACATTAAGCTAGCATTGAAGGTTATTCTTACAAGATATTGGATTGAAAACTTGTTAATAGAGGTTAAACTTGGAAGCATACTCTGGTTGTTGCTGAGGTACTGAATTTTAGTTTCAATTAACATTTTTAAAGCTTACCTACTTGCTGGCTTCCTCTTCTTTTGTCATTTCACATATTGCTAGAAATCTCACTGTCTTTATCTATTCTTTATTGTTAGCAAGAACCAAAGTTCGTGTTCAATGATAACTTGTACACGACAAATGAATACCTTTGGTCTTATTAGAATGCAATCTTACTTTGTCATTTTCAAATAATTATATTATTTTTTTACTAATATGATGTAGATTTGATTTTAGTTTCTTGTACATTTAAAAGTACAGGTATACTAGCTATTATAATGTTTAATATCGTTGCAGCTCCTCTATGCACTAAGATGGTCTACTTCAGGTAATAACATGCGGACATATATACCATGTACTGAGATATTGTGCTTTAGATATTATGCTATTAAAAAGATAATTCTCATGTAAACGAAAAAACATATATATATATTTATTTAAATATTAATTTTGACTTTAATGCTTCTAAGTTTGTATATTAAGACAACCTTATAATCTTTGATGCTCAAATCCCCATGATTTTAATTTCACTTTCATGTGCTGTTAATATTATTTATAATAATATAATATTATATATATGCACACTAGCATGCTTTTATAATTTATTAATTAATTACGTGAATATTTTTACACACACGTGGGCATGAGGCTAGTCGCTTCTGATGAGTACTTTAATATGAATGAAAAACGAAAAATTGGAACACATAGTATGAGAAATTTAATATGAGCTTTATTTGAAAATAAATTTCTTTGAAAAATGTTCACTATTTTTAGAAACTTAATTAAGAATTGGACTTAAAAGCCGAGAAAATATATATAGAAATATGAAACTAAGAAAAATTTGAGAACAGTAGCTTCAAATGGGAACCCTAAATGACAACTCTAGAAGGATCCATTGACCTAAGTAAGATGTCATTTAGATGAACTTGTGGCATCTTATTGACTCATGAAGTAATATTCTACTATTTTGGAATTATCATTTTACCATTCTATCAATTTTTTCATCCTCAAAATTATTTAGGCTCTCAAAGACAACAATCTTCCAATTTTTTGTGGTGATAAACGTAATAGAAGGATATGAGCTATTTTGTGTGGAATTATTACTTATGAACATGATGGCTGTAAATCAATCAGGCATGCAGAGCTTCAAGAATGTACATGTTGCTTGAAATGATGATTTTAATAAAATTAAATTAATTTTATGTCATATTTAAGAGAATGTGAACTATGTATAAAATATTTCTAAATAGTTTTGAAGTTCAAGCTTTTCTAGAAAATGAAGTGAATTCTTTTTTGATTGATATAAATTGATTTGAACTTAATTAGGTATTATGTGTCAATGAGTTCTCATACATTTTGAAATTGTTTGATAGAGTATATAAGATCTTCAAAGGTTCTGAAATTTGATTCATGCAGATATTATGACAATTATGGAAATCAGTGTTCTACAATTTTAGCATTGTGTTAAAGTTCCAAAAAACCAATGATCCAACAATTTCACTGAGATGTAAAATTAATTTGAGAGAATTGTGATAAATTAAATTTGAGCTTCATTATCTTGTAAGATAGTTCATACATTATGATCAACTAGAAATCTCAATCATTGAAAGTTGTCAAGAAATATGATGAAATATACTAATATCCAAATCAAGATCAAAATCTTTGGATCTAGTTTTGATTGTTGCTAAAAAATACTTTCAGGCCTTAAGTGAAAAAATCATTAAGTGAATTCAAATCACAACAAAATAAATTACTTTAGATGAAAAATAATAAGAGAGCGAAATCAACTGACCTAGTGTGTCAACCTACTAAGATAGTGTGTTGACATAAGGAGAAAGAGGTGTGTTTCCTAATCACTAGTCAAGAGAGAAATTGATAAAAAATCTGATAAGAACAACTATTTGAAGGTTGTTGACGATACAATTGGAAATACATAAAGACACCAAGAAAGTGACATGGGGAAAGAACAAAATGCAAGTGACCTATGACAACCATCCAATACAATATCAGATTGCAAATCACCTAAGTCAAAATGACATGGCATCTTTTAAAAGTATATTGGCATGTTGGCAAATGGGACCAAACCAATGATACATGGTAAAGATAAAATGCAAGTGATATGTGACAATCATCTAATCTAAGAGAAATGTGGAGAATGCCCCAATGAAGATGACATGTGGCTTTGCTTGACAAGACAATGAATCATAGAATCACTTGACAACACAACAACATGTAACATAATTTTGACAACACATCAACATGTGGTTTTAGTCAAATGGAAAAGTGACACATGATAGATAGTCAACAGTTCAGATGACATGTAGTAGGGTATAAGTAATCAAGTGAGACATGGTAAAGTTTGACTACTTAGGGTGATATGTGATAAACGATCAACAAACATATTTCACATGTGACAAAGATCTGTATGTGCCATTTGATGCTTGTCAATATCTTTTATAGTTCAAGATCTTTTATAACATAGTAGAATTCCTTTATATAGGAATGTGCAGAGGGCAATGCTTCTCTAACATGAAGATCATGATTGGTACATGGCAAAAGTATCATTGACATGACAGCCGACATGTGGCAAGCATAGCTTAGCTGATGAGGATAGGTAATCATAAAATCAGAAGATCAATGATATGTTAGTATTGCTGAACTGTCAAAAAAGCCAATCAAATTGTTAACTTGGGTCGGTTTGACAAATTGTTAACTTAGGTCAAGTTTGAATCATTTTAAATCAGTGTGTTCTAGACATTCTAAAAATTAATGTGATGACACATTGTGACAACCAATACAATAGTGCTGATCTCCTCAACTTTAATTGTAACTCTCTGAGGTTGAATAATATAAATTAAAATGATAGACTCTTTGAATGTGGATGTAGGCTAGGGAAAGTTTTAACTATTGTAAATCAGTGTTGTTTTGAACATTCTAAAAATTAGTGTGATGACTCTCTATGTCAATCAATACAATTCTGCTCACTCACCAAAATATGTGTCGACCCACTATGTTGACTAATATAATTTTGTGTTGACAGTATCATTGTTGGTGTTTGGTGAGTTAAATCTAATAAAACTAGTGGAATGACAGTGCCTAGATAGTTTTTA